GCTCCTGGCGGCTCCGGGTGCGAGTGAGCGGGAGCTCGGCCGCCATGAGCCACCGCGGCAGCGGCTCCGCGCGCTGCAGGCTCCTCGACGCGAGTCACGCCACCGCCCTCGGCGCCTCTTCGCCGGTGCCCGAGGTACCGTCCGAGCCGCGCGCGCGGGGTGGGCCGTCGGCCGGTGTCTGGGCCTGCGGTCCTAACTCAGGAAGGACGCGGGGGTCGGCGACCTCCGGGCTGGGCGCAGGCGCTCGTGGTTGCAAACATCTCTTCTCCGGAGGATGGTGGGCAGAGCAGGCAGGTTCCAGGTGCTCTGGAGTTGTCGGGGGCCAGTTAATGTTAGGACGTCGCCGGCATGTCAGAGTGTGTAAGTGCGCCTGCATTTTAGGTAGCGTTGCATCCATCTCTGACGACTTACACTAGTTAAACTGGAAAGATGGGTCCCGAACTCCTGTAGCCCTCCCTGCCCCTTTCCGCCCCAAAAGCAAAGAATTCCCTGGTTTAGTTCACTGCATTTAGCTACCAAAGCAGTCTCCCCCAAATCTGATCGTGGCTGGCCTTTTCGTTGCTAATCTCCCCAGCAACGGTAACAGTTCAGTTGTCTTTGGATCCAGCTGCTCTTCACCACAAGTTAGTTCAGGCCCAGAGGACTCTCAGGTTGTCGACTAGACACACACACACACATGCAGACACACATGCACACACATGACAAATTCTGGCTGGCTCATCTTGGGTTAAGTATCCTGCCATGGACCTGGTATCAGGGCCCCACCTGGGATAGTGCGAGGTCAGCGATGGGGGAATTGTGTTCAGCTGAGCCGCTAGCCTGAGAGGTGCCCTTAGTATGCCATGGACTTTATTGACCACATGTGTCCTTGCTGATGCCATTACATTGAAAACATGGGCTGGATTCTCCCACATGCTATAAAAAAAACCCACTGCCATGGATTGATTCTGACTCAGACAGCCTCATTGGGTTTCCAAGGTGGTAAATCTTTAGGGAAGTAGATTGCCCCATCTTCCTTCTGCAAAGTGGCTGGTGGGTTCAAACCACTAATTCTGTGGTTAGCAGGTAAATGCCTTGGGCACTGTGCCACCAGAGCTCCCCCAGCATGCTGTAGGAATTCTAATAGTCACCATCTTGGGTTGTGTCCTTACAGCTGACCCAGCCGTGCCTTGCATGTGTGATCCTTATTTGCATTTCTCTGATTCCCAGGATACATATTTTCATCCTTTCATATTTGGGAAAAATTAGTACCATTGTGTACAAACAAAACTAACATTCTTTCATTTGACATTTTTATATTTGACATTATTATGTTTTAACCCACTATGGTGTCTTTTCTGAACTGAAGAATGTTAGACTATATGTAAGTATGTACATACTGTTTTTTGGCTGAACTTTTAGAAAGTACATTACAGACAACATGACCTTTCATCCTCAATATTCCAGGATGTATCTCCTAAGAACGAGGTAAGAACAAGGGCATTTTCTAATGAAACCAAAATACAATGATCAAATTTAGGATCTGTCACATTGTTATATCTCAAGGTGCTACAAACAGTCATGCTAACTAAAAGGTTGAAGACTGGAGTCCACTCAGAGGTGCCTTGGAAGAAAGACGTGGTGACCTGATGCTGAAAAATCAGCCAGTGAAAGCCCTGTGGGGGCACAGATCTCCTCTGACCCCCGAGGGGTTGCCATGAGTCGGAATCTACTCTATGGCAACTGGTTGGT